TTCCAAATTCACCAGTGTGCTGGGTAAAAACTCCTCAAGTGTGGCCTTATTAGGATGGAAGATATATTGCTATGATTGTACCAATCCCTTCATTCTAAAATGTATTCTAAATTTTCTTTTTTAGATGGTGACAAAGTTTATTTGAAAAAGTAAAAGTGAAGAGTAAAGGAGAAACTGGCTCTGAGAGCCAGCATGGGCTGAGTAAAACAGGAAAAAGCAAGATAAAAGTACACCCTGGAGGACACAGGGCAGGCTATCATGAGGAAAGCCACCATAGCTTGTTTTCTAATTTTCAGACCCATGAGTTGGTTGGAAGAATAAAAATATAAGAGCTCATTGGTTATCTCTTAGGGATTTTTTTTTTGGTACCAGGGATCGAACTCAGGACCTTGCGCTTGTGAGGCAGGCGGCACAGCCACTAAGCTAAATCCCCGGCCCTCATTGGTTATCTTTTAGTAATTTATTTCTAACTTAACTGTATAGTGGTCAGATAATATAGTTGCTATGACAACAAAATCCTTAGATACCTAGAGAAACTTGCTTTAGGATTGTGTATGTTCATTTTTTGAAAGTTTTATATATTTACAGAAGGGAGGTGTATTCTGCAGTTTTTTTTTTTTCCACAGATTTGGGTAACTTTATTGCATTTATGGTGATTTCTTAAGGCCTATTTCCAATGAAACCATTTAAAAAGCTCTATGAGGAATGGAAATTCAGGTGTTTATGACAGTTTTCTTTAAAAAAAAAGCTTAAATTTCTGAATGAGCAAGATTCACTTTTGTAGGTAGAGGACCTGCTTCTTCATGATCTTCAGTTTTAGGTCTAATAACCACAAGAAAAGATGCTGGGTATCTGCTTAGCTTCTGTTCATTCATAAACTCCAAGTCACCATAGATACTCAGTTTCTCAGAAGGAACGTATTGTTCCCCACAGCTGTAGCAACAGCTGCACAACAAATCCAGAGCAATACCATCACTGAGAGGATAAGAGTCATTGTTAGAATCCACCCAGAGTTCACAGAGAGGCATCTTAAAAATCCATCACTTTCTCCATCTTCAAGATAGTTCCTGTGTGCTTGTGAGCTTCTCATTTGCAGATCTGAGGACATTTTGCTTAGAGACAATTCTCTCAAATTTGTAGGCCCCTGTTCCGACTGTGGTGCATACTGAATTTCTGGCTTAGACTGGAATATGACTACTTTTCCATCATCGGCTTGGAGATAGAAAGCCTAGGAAGAGGTGATGAAGCTCTGTGCAGAGCCTGTCATGTTGCTCCAGAAGGACCGCACCAGCATCAGAGGGAAGAGCAGATGCATTTTTGGCATCAGGGACATGAGTTGTTCTTGTCTCAATTCAGCAAACGGCAGCTGACTCTGGCAACAAAGATGGCAAGCATATTGCTCATCAGATTGGGAATAAGCTTCCGTACATGTAGATTCACATTTCAATTTGGTCCGATTTAAGTCAATTCCATCATCCACAAACTGAAAAACTGAAAACAGCCTGCAACCTCTCTGACGTGTACAACTCCTCTTCCTTGGGGTAGGTGTGCAAGGGGTAGGTCAGCTGACAGGCCCGGTGGCAGGATGCCGTATCACCCAAGACAGAGTTGAATGCTTCAGCTGAGGCAGTCCCCAAGCCGCTGGCCAGGGCCATGGTCAAAAATAGCAGCAGCGGGAGCCCCAGCTGGGCCTGGACCCAGAGGTTCCCCTTCAGCTCTGCCATCTTGTTCCCTCTGTCACCACGGCTCAGCTTGTTGCTGTTTTCTTTTCAGGGTTCGCCTCCTTCCCTTGTTTGGTGTTCTCCAACCAGTAATATCAGTGGGACCTCCAAAATGATATAGGGGGAAGAGATGTAACTCCCAAACCTATTAGATATCCAAAACATGAGTTCATGTTTTCTAAAATTGAAGAATGAATTCTAGGAACGAGGGAGGTTAAGAGTAGGAAAAATTTACCGAGAGAAAGAAAGTTTCTGTCTAAGAGAGACAGAAGGGGGACTGGAAAATGGGTTGCCCCTATTCTGCAGTTTTTGAGGCAAGCTTCTATATACATCTCTACTAAATTAAATTTGGTAATTTGTGTTATTCAACTCTTCTAGTGCCTTAAAGAATTTTTTGTGTGTCTTCTCTGTATTGATTGGCTTTTTCTTATAGGGACAAAATACCTGAGAAGAGAAATTTAAGAGAAGAAAGTTTTATTTTGGCTCATAGTTGCAGTTTTCAGTCCATGGTTTGCTCCATTGCTATGAGTAAAGCAGAAAAATCATGGCAGAAGGGTGTACTGGGAGAAAGCTGCTTGCTTCATGGCAGCCAGGAAGGAGAAAGGGAGAGAGAGATGAACCAGGGTCCAGATATAGTTCTCAAGGTCATGCCCCCCTTCTGTTTTCATCAGCTTCCAATAATGCCATCAAATTATGATCTCATCAGTGTATTAATCCACTGGTGAAGTTAGAACTCTTATGACCCAATAACTTCCTCAAAAGCCCATCAACTGGCAACCAAGGCTTTTAGTACCTATTTTTTGGGAGTCATGTCAAAATCCAAACCATAACACCTTGATCTGTGTATTAGTTTCTTATAGCCACTGTAATAAATTACCACAAGAGAGTGGGTTAAAACAACAGAAATGTATTTATTTTCTTATAGTTCTGAAAGCTAGAAACCTAAAATCAAGGGGTTGTCAGGGTCACATTCCCTTTGGAGGTGCTAGAGAGTCTATCTTTGCTTCTTCCAGATTGGCTGTTTATGTTTCTTGACTTGCCACATTACTTCAATTTCTGTTTTTGTGGTCACATTACCTCCTCCTTCTCATCCCTATGTCTTGTATAGGTCTCAAATCTTTCCCTGCCTTTCTCTTAGAAAGATACTTGTCATTGGATCTATAGTCTACTTGGGTAATTTAGGGATCTCAAGATCTTCAATTTAATTATATCTGCAAAGATTCTTTTTCCAAATATTCACAAGTGCCAGGGATTAGGACATGGAACTATCTTTTTGGGGGAGGCACACCCAGCCCATTTCAATCCCTCAAGATATATGAAATCATCTATTCTAATGGTGATATATCTTTTACTTCTATCAAGTTTTTGCTTCATGTATTTTGTGGCCATGCTAGTAGAGAAACATTTATGATTTTTATATCTTCCCTGGGTATTGGATCTTTTATTATGCAGGGACCTCTATCTCTAGACACACTCATCATCTATGAATCTATGACAAACTGCTGGTTGTTTGTCTGAAAAAAATATTCTGTCACTAAAAATTTTTTTTGTATCCCTAAATGTCCCAAGGTCAGAGAATTAAAAAGTGTGATTTAAAAAAGTCATTGATTAGTGTGAGGCAGCATTGTCCAAAATTAAATCATTCCACGTTGTTGGTAAACATGCTCTATTAAATACAGTGCAGAACAAATTAGGAAAATATATGTAGAGAAGCTCAAGAAAATGTGGATACTGAAGTACACCAAAGGTAATAATTTCTCAGTGCACACAAATAACATACCTTGTAGAGATAAAGATTTATTACCTACTAATTTAAATGCAGTTGAGGGTTGTTCTAGACAACGTCTTTATCACCACTAGTTCGGATGAGCTCCAACAAATAATTATATTTCTCATATACTACTATTGTAGATAGCTAAGCTTGTGAGAAAATATAAGGCAGTTAGGCCAGGCCAGGCCCTCAGCACAGAAAACAATTGAGTTGCATTTACTAAAGGTTCACGATTCAAAAAGGAAGAACTACTACACCCATATACTTCCCCCAGGAATGAATAGCAGTGATTGATATTCTAAATAGACATCAATCACTTTAACTGGGGACCAAAACCTCCCTAGCTAGTCCATTCCTTCTGGGAAACCCTTTTTCCTGACTTGCTTGCCCAGTGACTAGCTTCCCCATTTGATTCCCATTTAATCAATATTATCTAAGTGACTATACTTATAATCTTATTGGTTAATCATAGTTTCGTCCCACCTCGCGATTTCTCATTGGATCATATTACTTAAGGGACTACATTTACAATCTTATTAGTTGACTAGTTTTGTCCCACCTTGAACTTGCCTCACTTTGTGGCTTTGCTCAGATAAAATACCTTTCAGAAGCAGGTAAGTGGGCAACCCACTTTCCAGTCTTCCTTCTGTCTCAGACAGAAGCTATCTTTCTCTCAATAAATTCTTCCTACTCTTAACCTCCATTCTTGGAATTCATTCTTCTATTTTCGAGAACACGAAGTCGGCATTTTGGACATCAAGCAGGCTGGGAGTTATATTTCTCTTACATTATTTGGATTATCCGGAGGTCCTCATATCATACGCCCTATCTCACTACTATAACTTGAGAATGCAAATTTATTGAGGAAAAAATTAAAAGCTACTTTTCTTTTTTGACTCAAGACACACACCTTCAATTTGTACTCAGATTTTTCAAACAGTGCAGGAAGCTTGGCATTAAAAAGGATTTCTAGCCTGTGTACAGACGAGTAAAGAAGTTTCAAAACATTTATGAAAGCTGAAGAGTAGCAAAGTGCTAAAAGCATTAGCCTAGCAAAGTGGAAACCCCAAGTTCAATCCCCAGTAAGCGGGCGGGGCGAGGCGACCCAGGAGTATCTCAATCGTATCAGTGTATTTCGCCATCCTGTTATGATTCAGTTTATGTTCTCGATTTTGGGTCACAGGGTTGAAGAATGGGCCCACGAGCAATCCACCCAGGGCTTTCTGACACATTTATAATCTGCACCCCGAGGCCTCCTGCGGCCCCACATCTCCGTCCCCAAGCAAAGGCTGGATAGACGGAGCCCAGAAACCTATCAATCTTGAGAAAAACGCGACCAACTGGTTGCATAGTGCTACAGCTAGCCCAGATTCACAGGCAGATTCAAGAGCCGGTCTGCTCCTCGTCGTCCTGGTAACCAGACCGCGAACGCGCAAGCGCACATCAAACTTCCTTACCTCTTGAGACCCACCCGGGGGCGGGGCCTACGCGTGTTCCTCTGGCTCCGTCGCCCCACCCCTCTAGGTACTGGGCCACTGGAAGCCGGGCATTCCTCCGTCCTATTGCGTGACTCACAGCTCCCGCCCCTTTTTGCTCGGCTTTCCCCAGGCTCCTCCCTCTCACCACGTGCCCTCCGGGCCGCGCCCCCTGCGCCCTTTCCAACCTCCTGTTGGAAGCTGCTGTAAAATGTCGTGAGCGGCATTACAGCTTTACGGCTGCCTCTCCCCGGACGCGATCTCCCGAGCGCCCACCGCCGCCAGCCGGGTCTCCAGGAGAGTCGGCCTGGCTGAGAGCGAGAAACCCGGCGCGCCGCTGCTCTCCTCGCAGCGCCCGTCCCGGTCCCCGGCGATGTGAGCTTGAGCCAGCCGCGGTGCCCCCTGGCCCGGGGTTGAGACGCGGGAGGCAGGTGCCTGTGAGGCGGGCCGGTGCCGGGGGCCAGCAGGATGGAGGAGAGCATGGAAGAGGAGGAGGTGCTCATCTACGAGGCGATGATGGATGACCAGAACCACAACAACTGGGAGGCCGCCGTGGACGGCTTCCGGCAGCCCCCACCGACCCCCTCGTCGATCCCCGTCCCTGCATGTGAGGCTCCGGGCGGGCAGCTGCTGGCGGTGCCCGCGGTCTCCGTGGACAGGAAAGGCCCGAAGGAGGGGCTCCCGATGGGGTCGCCGCCACCGCCGGACGCCAATGGGGTGATTATGATGTTAAAGGGCTGCGACGCGGCCGCCGCCGTGGCTAAGGCGGCCCCCGCCCCCACCCCCAGCCCCAGCTCTGCCATCAACATCAACACCTCCACCTCCAAGTTCTGTGAGTCCAGCCTTTCCTCGGCAGCCTTGGCTCTCCTCCCCACCCGGACGCCGAATCCACCCCTTCTTGGAGCAGCCCCGCTTCCTTTGTTTCAGGCCTGGGTCTCTCCTCTCCTCTCCTCTCCTCCCCTTCCCGCCCCCTCCCCCTTCGTGTGGTGTCTGTGGCCAGTGCCTGAGGTGTCCTGGCTTCTTGTATTACCTGACCTAGAGAAGCAGCCCGGTACGCACGCAGCCCCAAGTTCTGCTACAAACGCGATCCTTATCACAGCTGGCTCTCTCTCAATATTAGGAAGCTCTTTTCTCTCCGGCCCCCTTAAGTTTCGCCCTCAAAGGTGAGGGGAAAATAAGACTGCCTGAGTTTCGGTAGGGAAAGGCCTTCAGCCTAAGCAGCTAGAGAAAAGAAATTTGGCTACTCTTGTTCTTATGCTGTTACCTAGTCTTAAGCAAGTCAGGAATTTGAAAGTTGACCTATTATCTACACCCGTTCTTTGCTTCCTTGTACACTTTTGCATCCTAACGGAGAAATGTATGAGTTGCTTCTTAATGTAGTGGGAACTGTGATAACTGTTTGGAAGTTAATGTATAACATCACTTTTCGCAGCCTCTGCTCATGAAAATAAGCAACTTAGCATGTGTCCAAATCCAGGATTTTGTTGCATGTTAAGTTTCATTATGTTGTGATTTATCTTAACTGTTGCAGGCAGAAAGATTCAAGGCCAAAATTTGCTTTGTGATAACTGTCCCAGGGCCTTCCATAGCTATGGAAAAAAGAATGGTGCTCCCCCCATGATGGTAGTTGCTAGAGTGAATGTGACCCTCACTGCTAGGGGTTTTTCTCATTATTAACTTTTAAGTTCTGAAGATTTCATTTCTAATTACTGATTTATCAAGCTGTACCAGTAGTTGTCCTCTTAGCTGTGAAGAGAAAATAGTACTTGCCTTGATACAGATAGGTAGTCACAACTTTACACAAAATTTTTTATGAAAACAGCGCACAACTTTATTTGCCTTTGAGATACTGCTTCAGTGAGACATTGATGTGCAGGTGTGGTTGCTAAGATTTGCATACATGAGAATACCATTTATGTTGTGTGGTTTATGTGTTGAAGGCTATGTTGTGAAACCAGATCTTGTACAAAGTGGCAAAGTGACTTAAGGAAATGATGTAGGGAGCTTGCATTAGTGCTTAAACAAAGTTCATTTGAAGAATTAAAAAAGCAGCAGTTAAGAGCAGAAATCAGTGAACTTGAGAACAAAGAATTTACCAAACTAAGAAAAGATTAATACGCTAGGCAGACTTCTGATAAGATTGATCAAGGAAAAAGATACAATATAAATAAGTGAAAAATGGAAAATTACAAATATGAAGCTTTTAAAAACTATTAATTACTGTGTATCAGTAAATTTGAAAACCTAGTATTCTTAGAAAACTTATCAACTCTGAAAATTGGTATCAGAAGAAATAGTTTGAAGTAATTTTAATAAACTGAAGCAGTATTGTTAAAGACCTCCCCTTTTGAAAACATGGATCCAGATATGCAGATAGGTACTCATATTAGTGAGCTCTATGAAACTTAACCAACACTTAATTCCTTTTTACATGTTGTTGAAGAAAGGAGAAGAATGCCAAACTTATTTTATGAGATTAGTGACATCTTAATTCTAAAACTAGATAAAAGTATAGGTGTGTTTCACTCACTAGCAAGGAAATGAAAATCTCACACAGTACCAGTTCATCAAATACAACTATGTGTTAAAAGAATCGTGATCCATAGTTTGTCCTAGTAATGTCAGCATGGTTCAACATCTATATATCTATTAATATAATTTCTCATTAATGGAAGAAAGAAAAATTATGATTATCTCATTTGATAAGATCCAGCACCTATTTATGATAAAAGCTATTGGCATACTAGGAGTACAAGCTAAGTAGATGAAAATTATTATCAAAAATTTACTGGAAATAATTATTATCAGTGGAGGAATTTTAGATACATTTGATTTAAAATGTAAAATGGTAAGATATAGATGTCCCTGTTCACTACAGGTTAACATGGTAGGGAAGTTCCTGGTTAACATTGCAAGGAAGGAAAATAAGTTGTAAAGGCTGGACGGTAGATAATAAAATCATATTTTGCAGAAAATATGATTTACTAAGAACTGGTTTTTTTTTTTTTTTTTTTTGGTACCAGGAATCGAACCTCAGGACCTTGCACTTACCAGGTGGGTGTGGTGCCACTGAGCTACATCCCCAGCCCAAGAGGAATTATTGAAATCAGTAGGAAGTAGGGAGATAGATCTTTTGCAAATGGGAAGGGGACCGAGAGATGGGGGATGGGGAGGGCAGAGGGTAGGGGAGAGGGGATGAAAAAGCACATATTCCATCCAGCTCCCCAGGAGGAATGTGATCATCATGTACTACAATCAGGTGCTCCTGAGAAGAAGAGAGACATTGTTAGGATTAGTAAGAGTTTGGAGTTGTTCAGATTTAAGGTTAACCTACAAAAAATAACATTTACACAGCCATGAAAAGTAGTCAAAAGTAGGTACCGTATTCAAAATAGCAACATTCAAAATTCAAAATAGCAACAAAACTATAAAGTGTCTAGAAAATAACCTAAGAATGTACAAAACCTTTAAGGAGAAACTTTAGACTTTAGAAGGGTATCTAAACAAATGGCAGAAGGTTCTGTGCTTTTAATCTAATTATTATAAACATATTAGTTTTCTCCATTTTAATCTAGAAATTCAATTTGCATGCCATAATATTATATTTGGCTTCTTTTTTTTTTTTTTTGGTACCAGAGATCGAACTCGGGACCTTCCGCTTGTGAGGCAGGCGGCGTAACCACTGAGCTACATCCCCGGCCCTACATTTGGCCTCTTTGACAAACTCAGTAACCTAAATCTAAAATTTATGGCAGGTGGAATAAAGTTTGGGAATTACTGACCAGTGTTAAAGATTCATTTTGGGGGCTGGCTTGCCTTATCAGAAGTTAAAATAATATTTCAAAACTGTAGTAATAACAGCTTGTGTAAGTGCAAGAACTGGTATAAGTGCAAAGGAACAAAGTAGGGGGCAGGGAAATATATATAAATATATATATATATATATATGTGAACTTTTTTTTTTTGTACTTGGGGATGGAACTCAGGATCTTGCGCTTGCAAGGCAGGCGCGGTGCCACTGAGCTGAATCCCTGGCCCTATATAAACTTAAGGTAAAGATAACATCATAAATCACTGGAGAAAGGAGTCTTATGTTGGGGAGAACGACTCAAACTTAGCACTGTAAACAGGATGGACTCTGAATGAATTACAGACCTAAGTGTGAAAAGAAAAATCTACAAAGTTAATAGAAAATATTAAAGAAACGTATTCCCCTATGGACAGGGAAGGACTTCTAAATGATTCAAAAGTTTATACAGGTTAAAAAATAATGACTGATTATATAAGAATTTACATTTTTCATTTAGCAAAAGATGAAATAATGAGAATATTTGCAGTGCTTACAACTGGCCAGGGCTTATTTGACTAGATAAGAGACTACAAATCTACAGAAAAAGGGCAGCAACCTCTAGAAAAATAGGCAAAGGGTATTAAATAGTTTACAAAATAGGAAGTTTTAAACATGAGACACAAATATTATCAGAGATGTGCACATTGAAATGTTGAATGTCTTTTTCTCCCATTAGACTGATAAAAATTGGAGAGCTGGGTAGTATCGAGTGTAGGTGGGGTGTAGGAAGACCCATACTTTCTTGCAAGAATAACAGGGTAGTGGACTTGTGTGCCATTGAGATGCACAAAGACTCTGTGGACCAGATAACAAAAGTTAGCTAGAGTGCTGATGTAGCCCTGAGCCAGGATAGTAAAGATATTACTGGATTGTAGGGTAAAAGCAGCTTTTGGTGATCTCTGTTTTGAAGTATAGAAAACTTGATGGTTACATATTACTAGGAGCAGTGTTGATTTGTCCTGCTGATGAGGCTGTATTTGGAACAGCAGGTAAAATTGGAGTCACCACCGGGTGTGATTAACTATAATCTTCTACAGTCTTTCTTCAAGGCCCATCTCCTCTTTGGCCACATTGAAATTGAAGGGTCCTCAATCACCATCAAATCTTTGAAGTTGCTGCATCCTCTGTTTCTCACTGGGATGTGCAGTTTGTCATTTTGATAGGATGGGACACATCTAGGGATTCCATTTGGGCTCTTCCTCTAATATGGCCCTGCCTCCATAGTTCAGGCAGCTGTATTACTTATGTGATCCGGAACTGGGAAATGATAGGGCAGGACCTGGGATTTACTGGGGACATTTTGAGATGGATTGAAGCCAAAATGTTATGTCGTGTGACACCCGTAAGTTCCTGATTTGACTCATTTGCTACAATGATAGTCTGGTTCCTGAGGTTTAGAATGGGCTCAGGCTCAGAGTATTGAGTAGTCCTTGAAAAATTTGAGTGATCTCCATTTCCCAAATGTGTGGCCTCCCTAATACATAGCTGCATGCTCTACTGGAAAAGGCTAGGAGGAAGACTTTTAAGTATACTCTTGAAGCAGTTTTAGAACCCATCTTCTGCCTTTGTTCCATGGACTTTTTATCTAAACATATTCAGTCTGGGTATTACTTGGCTCTTGAGTGACCACTCCAGTAAGACCTCTCATATTTTTTTTCCTGCTCCCTTTGTACAGATCAAATAATACATTAGTATACTGCCTCTGTTTTTCCTAAGGGCACCATGAATAGCCACCACCAGAGATCCAAGCCATTCTGCTAACCACCCTAGCTCTGCTGCCTGTTAAAATAATCATGCTCACCTTATACCTAGGAGGTGCTTCTGTGTATCCTTTGTTACTGTGAAAATTGAGCTCTCTCACTGAAATCAGAAAGCCTCTTTGAATCACAATATTGCCTGTCTTTAACCCGAAACTATAATGGACAACAATCTCAGCATTTTATTCAAACATAGTAGTGTATCCCTTACCAATATACTTTTTA